GGGGGGGGGGGGGGGTGGGGGGGGGGGGGGGGGGGGGGGGGGGGGTCCCGGGAGAAAAGCCGAGCCGCGATTGGCTGCCTTGGCGACGTTCATTTGCATACCCTCGCCTATTTCAAGAGCCCGGGTGGGGAGGGTCAGTCTTAGTAGGCGAAGAAGCGTTGCGGGGCGCGGGTGGAGCAGGTGCCGACGCGTGGAGGGGGGTTAGAAAGCCGGCGCTCTCCTTTCAACGGGTTCGATGCCAGGCGGGGGCGCACGGCGGGCCGGGCTGTGGGGAGGATTGACAGCCGGGAAAGGGGGCTTGGCTGGTTAGCGGGCGGGGTGGGGGGGGGTCCCTTTCTCTTGCCTGCCTTCCTGCTTGCTTTTTTTTCCCTTCTCTTTCTCTCTTTTCTTCTGCTTGGCAGCGAGCGAAGCATGGGCGCCCGCAAAGACCGCGGTTGCCCGTCCGTGCCAAGCCACCCGGTGGGCATCCTTTGCCTGGCTTGGCTGCTGTTGCTGCTGCTGCTAGCCTCGGCTTTGGGCAAAACGATTCGGTACCACACCTACGAGGAAGAGCCTCCAGGCACGGTGATCGGAACCTTGGCCGACGAGCTGCCCCTGAAAGGAGCGACGGGAGCGGAGAGAACTTTCCGGCTGGTGAAGGCGCCGGGTAACGGGTCGCTGGTTCGAGTCCGGGAGCGGGACGGGCAGCTGAGCCTGGGGCCGGAGCGGCTGGACCGGGAGCAGCTGTGCGGCCAGGCGGAGTCGCCCTGCCTGCTGGCCTTCGACGTGCTGAGCCTGGGCGGCCCGGCGGGCGCGGGAGCTCCGCCTTTCCGCCTGGTGCACGTGGAGCTGGAGGTGCGGGACCTCAACGACCACGCGCCGCGCTTCCCGCAGCCCGCCGTGGCCCTGGAGGTGTCGGAGAGCGCGGCGCCCGGCACCCGCCTGCCGCTGCCCCTGGCGCACGACCCGGACGCCGGCTCCAACGGGCTGCAGAGCTTCGCCCTCTCGCCGGGCAGCCCCTTCGGCTTGGAGGCGCAGAGGCGCGCCGACGGGCTCCGCTGCGCCGAGCTGGTGCTGCTGCGCGAGCTGGACCGGGAGGCGGAGGCGGGCTACCGGCTGGAGCTGGTGGCCAAGGACGGCGGGAGCCCCCCGCGCTCGGGGACGGCCACGCTCAGCGTGCGCGTGCTGGACGCCAACGACAACGCGCCCGCCTTCCCCCGGGGCGCGCTCCTGACCCTGGAGCTGCCCGAGGACGCGCCGCCGGGCGCGCTGCTGCTGGAGCTGGACGCGGCCGACGCCGACGAGGGCGCCAACGGGCAGCTGCTCTACGCCTGGGGCAGCCAGGTGGCCCCCGAGGCCCGCCGCCTCTTCAGCCTCGACCCGCTCTCGGGCCGCCTGGCCCTGCGCGCCCCCGTCGACTACGAGCTGCAGCGCACCTACGAGCTGGACGTGCAGGTGAGCGACCGGGGCGCCAGCCCGCTGGCCGCCGCCTGCAAAGTGGTGGTGCGCCTGCTGGACGTCAACGACAACGCGCCCGCCGTGGCCATCAGCGCCCTGGGCGGCCCGGCCGGGTCGGGGGCTGCGCGGGGCCCGCAGCAGCAGCAGGTGGAGGCGGCCGAGGCGGAGGCGGCGGCGGCGGCGGCGGGGGACGAGGCCGGCTGGGCGGCGGTGAGCGAGGCGGCGCCGGCGCAGAGCCTGGTGGCGCTGGTCAGCACCTCGGACAGCGACGCGGGCGCCAACGGCCAGGTGCGCTGCGCTCTCCTGCCGGCGCCCCACCAGCCCTTCGCCCTGCAGCGCGCCTACGACGCCGCCAGCTACCTGGTGCTGACCACGGGCGCCCTGGACCGCGAGCGGGTGGCCGAGTACAACCTCACCCTGGTGGCCGAGGACCTGGGCTCTCCCCCGGCCAAGACCGTCCGCTCCTTCACCGTCCGCGTGGCCGACGAGAACGACAACGCCCCGCGCTTCGCCAAGGCCCGCTACGAGGTGGCCCTGCCCGAGAACAACCCCCCGGGGGCCTACTTGACCACCGTGGCGGCCTCTGACCCCGACCTGGGGCCCAACGGCAAGGTGAGCTACCGCCTGCTGGACAACCAAATCATGGGCGCCTCGATCTCCACCTACGTTTCGGTCGACCCGGGCACGGGAGCTATGTACGCTCTCCGGACTTTCAACTATGAGATCCTGAAGGAGATGGAGCTATCCATCCAGGCTACAGATGGAGGATCTCCTTCACTGTCCAGCACAGCCTTGGTCAAGGTACGGGTGATGGACCAAAACGACAACGCTCCGGTCATCACTTCTCCTACGGTCACCAACGGGTCTCTCGAAATTGGGGTCTCCAGCAGAGCTTCCCGAGACTCCCTGGTGGTCCACATCAAAGCCCGAGATGCGGATGAGGGCTCCAGCGCAGAGCTGAGCTTTGCTTTCTCACAGGATCCCCAACAGCAGGAAAGATCCCTGGATCTCTTTGCCATCCACCAGAAAACCGGAGAGGTTACTCTCCGGAGGAGCTTATCTGACGAGCAGCTAGGCCAAGTCTACCCGTTGCTTCTCACCGTGACCGACAATGGGCTGCCACCTCTCTCCACCACCGTGGTGGTCAACTTCCTGGTGACTGCATCGCTGCCTCCCTCTAGCGGCCAGGAGTCCGTGGCCAAGCCCAGCTCTTGGGACGACCAACCTCTGCAATGGGACGTCCCCTTAATTGTCATCATCATCCTGGCGGGAAGTTGTACCTTGCTTCTGGCGGCCATCATCACCATCGCCACCACGTGCAACCGGCGCAAGAAGGAGAAGAAGGTGGTCTTGGAGGAGCCGCTTGACACCTCTCACCTGGAGAAGGACCACGAGGAGGGGAGCCCCAGCGACGGGGCCCTCAACCCCTCCAGTCCGCGCTTCGACGTCCACTCCTTCCCAAGCAAATCTTCTTTCGCGAGTCCTGAGCCTTCTCCGGCCAGTGAAGATATCCCGGCGTCCGAGCACAGCCGAGAAACCAACAGCCTCTACGACAGCCAGAGCCGACTCCGAGGAGCAAATGCAGAGGTAACCTTTTACACCTTCCTTTGCTGGGGGTGGGGGGAGAGAAGAGACTTACCTAGCTGGTTGTGGCTTAACTTACCTATGAGTATCAAATAAGTAATTAATAACATGGAAGGAACGTAGTTACTCATCAGCCTGTTTGAGAGATTCATTGAACGCAAGTCAAGCGGGTTAGAATTTCAGGCATTAGCCATCCAGGTGGGTTATCATCTAGCTTCAAGGGGGTGAAAAGTCACACGCAGCTAGTCCTCGACATACGACCACAACGGAGCGCCAAATTTCTGTCACTAAGTGAAACATTTCAATTTTTTTGTCCCCTTCTTATGACCTCTTTTGTCTGTGTGGTTAAATGAATCTTTGCAGCTGTTAATTTAGTAACACGTTAAGTGGATCTGATTTCCCCATGGTGAGGTCACAAAAGAGGACCAGGGCACTGCAACCGTCATAAATGTGAACCAATTTGCCCAGGGTCTGAATTTGGATCATGTGAAAAAAAAAAAAACACCCAGGGATGCTGCAACAGTTGTACGTGTAAAAAACGGTCATAAGTCCCTTTTATCGGCACCGAACGGTCGCTAAATTAAACCATTGTAAGACAAGGACTGTCTGTATTCAGGGGGAATGGATTAGCCTGTGTTTTTATTATTATTATTATTATTATTATTATTTTCTATTATTATTTTTTACTTATGAAATGCACGGGCTGCCCATCTTCATAAGGTGAGTGTACAAGAATTCTTTATTGTCCAAGCGTGATTGGACACACAAGGAATTTGTCTCTGGTGCATAAGCTGTCACTGTGCATAAAAGCTGCAAGCGATAAATCATGATCCGAGTAGTCATAGTAAAAAATACATTCACCGTAAATCATAAAGATGCAACACTTAGGGATAGCCGTAGGATACTAAATAAGCAATCAACATAAATCCGACTAGGGAACCAAATAAAACAATGCAACACGTAAAGATACAAGCAACGCAGTAGTAGAAAAGGAGACGGGCAATAGGAAAGACGAGAAGAAGAATAGTAATACAGTCTTAGTGAATATACTACCCGTTGGTAACGTCTTTTCTTCTGACAATAACTGTGCCTTTCCTTTTTGTGTGTGTGTCTTTCTCCAATGTTTCCTCTTCTCCAGTCTTACACTTCCACCCCCAGTTACAGCAAAGAACCAGCGGCCCTGGTCCCTATTTGGAAGGGCCACTCCTTCAACACTTTGTCCGGCCGGGAAGGAGAAAAATTCAGTGGGAAGGACAGCGGCAAAGGGGACAGTGACTTCAACGACAGCGATTCCGACATCAGCGGAGACGCTCTGAAGAAGGACCTCATCACCCATATGCAAAATGGTAAAGGTTTCTTTCCAATGCCGCCCCACCCACCCCCTTAGCGGATCGACCCTGTCGCGTGGAGGGATTTATTTTACAAATCCGAGAGCGGGTTGTTTGTTGCAAATCACCCTCTAATGACCTAAATGGTCACCTGCTGTTTGGGGAACGGTCCTTGGAAGCTAGCAACAGGCAGAGCTGCGGCCCGTGCTGTTCTTCATCGCCGCTAGCGAGGCCCCTTGGGGCCTGGGGTACCCATGGGGCAGAAGATACTACGTGCATCCGCCCCGCGGGAACAGATTCACTTTAATTAAATATTGCGTTATCCTCCGTTCTCTCCCGACCGATGCTCCTTTGAGGCTTGGAGACGGTGACTCATAAAAGGTTACTAAGAAAGCTTCGTGGTTGATTAGAGACATGAGCACAATTGGCTTGGCTCTAGTAAAATACATGGATTGAGTAGAGACGTGAGTGCAATTTGCTTGGTTCTAGTAAAATATATGGTTTGAGTAGAGATGTGAGTGCAATTTGCTTGGTTCTAGTAAAATACATGGTTTGAGTAGAGATGTGAGTGCAATTTGCTTGGTTCTAGTAAAA